ATCTGAACCCTGTCCTTTCCTGTACCATCTTCATCATTTCTCACATACTCAAGCTCATTGAAATACTAAGTCCATCAGGCTGAGTCTTACTCTCTTTCACTGACCCTCCACCTTCCCAAGTACGATATCCCTTTCCAAGGACTAGCCTCTCCTTGAAACATGCTGGAAGCATATGAGACAAAGCTTTGTCATCTGTATCTCCAAGGAGCATTATGACTGAACTTTCTCAAAGACATATTTGGTTCTTCTTTTGGTAGACCATGGGATCTTCAGCCTTCTTCTCCACTGCCACAGTTCAAAAGCATCAATACTTCTGTCATCCTTTTTCATCATTGTGCTCTTAAATGCATAGCAAGTGATGGAGAAGACCATGGCCAGAATCAGGTACACCTTAGTCCTCAAACAAATGGCTTTTCAATCAATGGCAATTTGGGTTTTATCTAACTATAGTGGCAAGAAGCTGCGCTGTAATCCCAAATCCACCAGTTGCTCTACAGGAGAAGGATGATTAAGTGCCTCTGAAAATCCACAGCCAGGTCTGAGTTAGTTCCAACTTGATGGTACACAACAAAACCAACATACTAAAAGTAGTATATTTAACTATACTGAAGTTCAGTATAGTATATTTAAGGGTACTATGTCCTTCCATACACTGATAATTATTTTAAAATTTTAAGTAGCTTGTAGTATTGTCAGATTTTTTTCTCAAGTCATATACAATTCACAAAATGCCAAATCGTTTTACTGGTAAGTCAATAATATCATTGAATAATGATATTGCAGATCATCATTGGAGATGAGTCTGAATCAACTCACAGCTGATTCTCCAGGATACTTTGTATAGTCTTTAAAAATGCAGGGGAGGAGATTCCATATCTTCCTCCCTCTGAACAGCTGGTATTTTAGATACCAGCAAGGCTCACCTTTGAGTTAGCAGTACAAATCTGGTCTGCATCCTGCAAGACGGGTTTGTTCATTCTTTTAGCATTTCCTGGTATATTTAATTCATTTGTCCGTACCACATTTCAAAGATATTGGTTCTTTTCATTTAGTTTTTCATATTCTTTGCCCAGCTTTAAGATTCATAGAAAGCAATTACTAATGTTTGGAAGAGGCACACCTTGGTCTTTAAAGTGACATCCTTGTTATATAGAACTTCGTGTAAGTATCTGATTAAGATTGACTATCACAAATTTACCTTGTATATAGCATGCATACACACACACACACACACACACACACACACATCTTTAAAATGGTGGGTGGAAGTATATTCTTTCATGCAAATTTGAATATTTTACAGAAAATATTTCTTTATTTACATATCCCTTTAAATCTAAGGGATCCTGGTGGCTTAGAGAGTAACATGTTGGGATAATACTTGACATATATTTTTAATCCCTCACCTGCTTCATGGTTGAAAGATGACACTCTCCTCCAATATACGCAGTCTTGGAAATCCAATAGAAGATCACTGTGAGTTGGAGTCACATCTATAGTAGAAATTTAATTGGTTTGAGTGAAGTACATAAATTATTCTGTTGTTAAATGCTGTCAATTTTACTACAGCTCACAGTGACCTTATTATGAACAACAGATCTAAATCTTTCCATAGCCTGCTTTATACACATAATATCCCACCAGGCTCAGTGTCAATCCATCTTGCTGATGGTCTTTTGCTCTTTCAACGGCCCTCTGGCCTTGTCAGCATGACACCTTTTTCCAAAGTCTGTTCCTGGATGACAACATGACCAATGTTTGTGGGACAAATTTTATCATCCTTACCTCTAAGAGCTATGTGGTTACGCTTCCTCCAAAACATATTCACTTGCTCTTTTAATAATTGTACATTCAACACTCTTTTCTAACACTACTATTGTGGTGGTGGTGGTTGTTGTGTACTGTTGAGTTATATGAGCCTTAGCTAAGCCTCCAGGTTTTCAGTGGCAGTAAATTGCATGAGAAGAGATTGCCCATCCTTCTCCCATTGAGCAGTTGGTGGCCTCAAACCACACACCTCAGGGATTGCAATGCAACTTCTTATTACCAGGCCAATTCTTTTCTCTCTTTCTTAGTCATTGTATTGTCCAGCTTTCCTCTGCATAAGGTGCATATGAAAGTAGTGCCTATAATAATTCTCCCATGGGGCAGTTGATTCATTAGGATCACAGATATTTTGGTTTTACCTGACTCAATAGTCATTCTGGTGGTTTAGTGTGTAGGGAGTGCTACACAAAGTAAAAAGCTGTATCTCCACAGCAATTTGAATCATCCAGTGAGAGAGAGAGAAAGAGGGAGAGAGAGAGCGAGAGAAAGCGAGAGAGAGAGAGAGTGCACACAATAGAGGATCAGCTATGAGTCAGGTCTGACTTGAAAGCAATGAGATGTCTGGTATATTGGTATATTTCTCAGGATACCAATATGCTATATGTCACTTTTATTAGGGGAAAATATTATTACTTATATTAAAATAGTTAAAGTTAATCTTACTTTTCTAAGAATCCAAGAAATAACATTGGTGTTATATTTTGCATTCACAATGAGTCTCCAAAGAAATTATGTGTTAGAAGGAACAGAAGATTTTTTTAGTGAAGATATATTCCATAAGTTGTGACTATGTATCAGTACAATTGGACACTGGATGTAATCTATGCGCATATCTGATGGGACATCTCTATCATACAGTAGCATTCCATGGTTTAATAAAATAGATATTGCTATTTATATATTTTTATGAAATGAGAAAAAACTTGCTATTATTTACAGGTTTTAGATTTTGCTTAGTTTTGTTTTTATTAGCTGGACAGAAAAGGAAGATGGGAAAGTTATGAGAGAATAAATGTTAAAAATAGGTATTTGCTTAACAAAAACAAAGATATCATGCACGTTCCTTGTACATACAAACAGGCATAAATACAGATATATTGAAAAATAAGAAGGGGTGTACACAATAAAATGTAATTTATACATGCTTTAGAATATATTTGTTATTTCATTTTTCTGATTTGTTGATGCTTATTTTAATGGAATTCACAGGGAAACACACAGTGTTAGCTTTTTGTTGTTGTTGTTGTTGTTGTTGTTATGTCATTTGCAATTCATAGCAACCGTATGTATGACAGCCCTAATCCCTGTTCTATCTCTTGCCAATCTTATTTTCTCCAATACTCCTTCCTATCCCTGTTACTCCAGAGACTGAATCAATCCATCTCATCTAGGGTTTTCCTTTCCTGCACTGTCCCTCCATCCTCCCAAGCATGACATCCCTCTTCAAGGACTGGTCCCTTCTTGCAACATGTCCAAAGTATGTCAGACAAAGCTTCAGAATCCTTGCCTCCAAGGAGAAGCCTGGCTTCACCCTCTCTAGGATGAACTTGTTTGTTCTCCTAGCAGTCCTTGGTATATTCACTACTCTTCTCCAGCACCAAACCTCAAAGGCATCAACTGTCCTTCTATCATCAGATTAGCTTTATAGAGGGAAGAAAAACAACAACAACACAACAACCACAAGAACAAAAACCAGCAAAATACCCAACCCAAAACCAAACCCAACACCTGAAAAACAATCATTTCAGGAAGTAATATATATGATCAAGAATGTGAAGGAGTTTAGCCTGTACAGAAAGAAGAGGCCAAAAATAAGACCACAGAGACTGACGGGATTGAGATATTTCAACAAATAGATGCAGCCTGAGACATGCTTCCTTGAGTCTACCAAGAAATGTGGAAGATAGCGACTACACTTAGTGACTGAAAAGTTTCTGTATTTGTCCCTATTTTAAAAAAAAGTCAACAGAATGTCATGACTGTTATATGTTATCTTGTTGAGTAAGATTCATACACAAAGCAACTCTGTGAACAATTAACTTGACTCCTGTCCCTCATGCGCCATCCTCATCATCTCTGACATATGTGAGCTCATTGTTGCAGTCACAGTGACACTACATTAAATGGGATGTTGTTGTTGTTGTTGTTAAGTGCTGTTGAGTCGTAGACTACTCATAGCAGCCCTGTGAACAAAAGACCTGAGCACTGTTCATAGAGTTTCCAGAGGCTAGCCATTTCAGAAGTGAATCCCACTCCTGCCTCTAAGCTTGTTTTAATCAGGAAGCTCCACCAAACCCTGCCCACCATGGGTAACCATTATCACATTTGACACATCAGTGTCACAGTGTTTAGCATCACAGCAACCACGAGTTACCTCTGTACAGCAAATGGACCGACCAGTGCTATACCACCTACAAGAATGTTTGACAAAAACAATTTAAACCAGGCCTGAAGGCTACAGCTAAAAATCACTCACCTTGGGCTTGGTAGCATAACTCTCTGTCCACTAGTGCAATGTAGCTCTCTCTATGTTTTCTATGTTATTGAAGTGAAGTGCCATCTAGTCATAGACGACTCATAGTGACCCTATGAATGGAAGACCTGAGCACTGTTTATAGAGTTTCTGGAAAATATAATTCAGGTTACAATAAAGTAAAATGATGTTTGACATATTTAAAAATTGCAACAATCATTCATGTAGGGATCTCTGGTGACCTAGAGTAAAATTGTGTTGCTGACCCAAAAGCAGGTGGTTCAAATCCACTATCTATTTCATATGAGACAGGTGGACTACCTATTTCTATGCCATTTACAGACCAAATCCTCTAGAGGGTCAGATATAAGTCAGTTCCAAGACACTGCAATAAATTAACTCTCATCAGTTGAGAATTGTCAGAGATTATAGCTGGGTTCAAAGGAGGTCACGGAACAAAGACCATTACTATTAACCTCAGATTTATCTTGGCTGATATACTGCTTGGCATAATAATATTATTCCTGTGATCCTTGGGCAATATATTGTATGGGCAATATATTGCTTTAGCAGTTATATTTAAAACAATTTTTATTACACTAAGAAGTCAGGAAGTAATACAAAGCCTGCATATGGAAACAGAAAGTTAATTATATTGGATGAAATAAAAAAGGAATACAGTTAGATATGGGAGGAGGGGGGAAGAGAAATTGTTGTTGTTTGACTAACAAGAGTTTCAAACGTGCAGGTCAATTTATAGATGAACTAATGTCTGTTTCTTTCTTTGCTTAATTTACTGGAAATTTGTTCACAGCCACTTATTATTACTTAAAACACTATTTGGCATAATTTGTGCAGTGACCATATTTGTCTACCTAACGCATGGCATGTAACAGTAAAAAGTGATCTCTAAATTTTCTAAGTGTTTTCCACCATGTTTAGTGCATTATTCTAGACCTTAAAGAACAGCGTACTCATACAAAATTTGAATCCTGATGCTGGTACTCAATGTTTTTGTACCACTAGCCCCAAAGTGACCCCTGTCTGGTAGTTCTGGTCCATTAACAGCTACACAGGAGAAAGAAAGACCATCTCCTGTGAGACTCACAGCCTCTCTAAAAATTTTGTTGATATTATGCTATGAGTCAATGCTGACTCAATGGCAATGAGTTTGAGGTTTGGTGGTTTTTTTAGGTTTGATTTGTTTGGGAGATTTTTTTTTTTTAATTTGGATGTACTCCTAACAGAGCCAAGCAGTCTTAAAGAACTCAAAGGCCACACATCTATTGCTCTGACTAATTGTGTCACCATAAACACCTGCCTGCCTGACAGCCTCATAGAACAGGTATCAGGAATTGAAAGCGTCGGTCCAACAGCATAGGCTTCCCTGAGGGGCTGAAGGGAGTATGGTGGGATAATGCAAATCTCACTCGCTGAGGAACACAAAAACAATATGAATCTTGTGTCATGAGCAAAGGAAACCAGCATTATCAGACAAGAAAAATATCATTGAACAATTTTATTATTTGACACATAAAAAAGTGACATCTATGGGAACAATACGATGATTCCCAAACCACCTAATGCAATAATAGAAAAAATCTGATGTCCATGTCCAATTGAACATCCATACAGCACACACATTTCTGAGTGTACTTCTTAGATGAACTTAATTTATTCTTCCAGAAGTCCAAGCTATATTGATTATTGTTTACTGGAATCATAATTGAAATGTATCATTTCTCCTTTCTTCATTTCCAGTTTTTTCAAACATATGAGATGATTGAAAATACAATTGCTGAGTCAGGCACAGCTTCATTCTAAAAGTGGTAACTTTGCTTCTTTGCTAGTTAAAACCAGTCCATTATAGGAAATTTGTCCAATGGTCACTTACTTTTGTGACTGCTACTTCTATGGATGTAAATTGTGGATTCACGTAAAACTATAATGTTGTCAACTGTAATCAGTGTTTTTCTGACATTTTAAAAGTTTAGGTCTTGCATGTGGACATTTTAAGAGAATGTTTTTGGTGCAAAATATGAGCTCAAGTTCTTAGATTTGTTTTCAACTTAAATGAATTCTTTCAGCATTCTAATTTAAAAGCTTTTTGTTTATCATTCAATTGTCTTTACACCTTTAATAAAATTAAGCTAGTCAAACATATGTTTGGTGATTGTTAGATTATAAGACATTTTATTAGGGACCCAAATGAGTGTGAGTTGAATTTGCCAGTTGCTAAAAGGGAGAAAGATAGGCAATATCTCCCCATGTAATTTATTGGCTCGAAAAACTCCCCAGAAACTCACAAATGAGTTATTTCCTACTTGAAGGTACATTACAACACCACTAAGACTTTCATTAATGTACTTGCCTATTTACAGAAAATAATACTGTTGCTTGATTGTTGTACCATTAAGCTGTTAATAGGTACCATCCAGTAGACTCTAAATCATAGCAACCCAATTATATACATAGATGTGTTTGTGTGTGTATGTATACATACACACATATATGTCTCTATATGCATTTTTAGGGAGCTTTCCTGACCTAGTGCCAACACAAGGCAAGTAATTTGAATCCATCTACTGCTTTAAGAGAGAAATATAGACAATCTCTTCCATACAATTTACAACCTCTAAGAATCTTCTAGAGGATTAATTTTGGGTTCTGATTCAATAGCACACAGCAAGAATCAACATGTTAATTTTTTCACATTCAAATTTACTCTTTCTAGCTATGTGGCCAATTGAGTGGAAGGGACTCACGTTTATATCAATTCTCAAAACAAGTGACCCAATAGAATGTGGAAATTATACAACAGTATTATTAATATCACAGGCAAGCAAAAAAATTGCTGAAGATTATCCAAAAATTATTAGAACAGTCCATTGACAGAGAACTGCCAGAAATTGCAGCTGGCTTTAGAAGAGGCCATGACACCAGGAATACCATTGTTACTATCACCCTAATCCTAACCTTAACCCTAACCCAGAACATATAATTGTGCTTTTGCAAAACCTATGTGTAGATCAATAGGCTGTTGTCCAAATCGAGCAAAGGAACATGATATGGTTTAAAATAAGGACATCTGTGCATCAGGGTTGTAGTCTCCCTCCTAGTCATTCAATCTGTAAACTTAGCAAATCATTCAAGAAGCTGGAATTTATAAGAAGAATGTGGCATCAAAATTGGAGGAAGACTCGTCAACAGTCTGCAGACACAACCTTGCTTGCTGAAAGTGAGAAAGACTCAAGACATTTGCTGCAGAAGACCAACAACTACAGCCTTCATTATAAATTACGTCTCAACATCAAAGAAATAATCTTTCTCCTTGAGTCAATAGGCAACATCATAGCGGATGGAGAAAGACTGAAGTTTTCAATCGTTTCATCTTGCTTGGATACATAATACCCTCAGCATTAAAAAAATGCTTTATGTTAATAGCTTAAGCAGTTAATTATTTAACAGTTGCCATTGTTTGGTACCCTTGAAAAGTCTAAGTGTTGCATTGGGAAAAATCTTTAAATGATCTCTCCAAATGCTATAAGAGAAACAATGTTAGTTTAAAGACTAAGGTGCACTTGATTCAAATTGTGGCCTTTCACAATTACTCACTATGTATCTGAAAGTTGGACAATGACTAAGAAGAATCAATATCTTTGAGTTGTGGTTTTGGAGAAGAGTACTGGATATCCCATGTACTGTTACTAGAACAAACACAAATGTATCTTGGAGAAAGTGAAACGAGGGTGCTCATTAGAGGCAAGAATGATGAAATTTGGTCTCACATATTTTGGGCCTGTTGTAAGGAAAGACCATTCTTTAGAAAAGAAAAATATCATTTCTGGAAAGGTGCAGGGTTTCAGGGAAGGAAAGAGGAAGACCTTCAACAAGATGGATTGGCGGAACTATAACAGCAGGCTTACGTATATCTGAGATGAAGAGGGTGGTGGAGGACATGAGAAGGCTCAGAAACATTGGTCATAGGGGCCTGTGAGTCTTGGTTGACAACCTTAGGGCTTTGTGCTGATGGCTTAAAGGTTGAATCTCCTCAGTTGTTCAAATTTAAATTCACCAGTGGTTCAGGAGAGTTGTTCGAATTCACTAATGGTTCAGGAGGAGAAAGACGGGTCATTTTAGCCTGTGTGGTTTACAGCCTACCAAAGTTCACTGCATGAACACGGTGCAGGATAGAACAAGATGTTCATAGTGTGCCTATGTGTTGTAGGTGACTACAGGCATCTAAAACCAAGAATATATATTTGTAATATAGTTTACTGGAAGCAAGAGTGGCATCCACTTCGTAAATATCATGACTCCAGAAACTCTATGAACTTCGATAAATGTCAGTACTTGTAGAGGGGTTTCATGTCTTTTGTTCATAGGGTTGGTATGAGTTATGCTCCGCTTGAAGGCTATTAACAACAATATAATTTAAATATTAATAATACATATTAATATAGGCTACGTCTAATTGAAAACTGTAGCAAAGGGACCAGGAAACAGGTTTTTAATTAAGAGTCTCACACAGTTTGGACATCTAACAACAACAAGATAAATATATTAAGTCATTAATTTACAATACTAGATTTCTTAAAATATTAGAGCTATATCCAATATTAATACATTAATATCATTACAAGGTAAGAGTTAGATGTGTTCTGAATTACAGAGTTAGTGATTTTGATAGAAATTTACTCAGAGCCACCGTCACGTCTTTGTTTCTCAGGCAGTATATCAGGGGGTTAAAAATTGGCGTCATAGTAGTGTAAAAAAGAGAAAGCAGTCTGTCCATTCCCACTGAATGAGTGGACTTTGGTCTCATGTAGGTAATGGTGCCTGATCCAAAGAACAAAAGCACCACCATTAAGTGTGAAGAACAAGTGAGGAAAGCCTTGTCTCTCCCTTTTGCTGATGGCAGTTGAAGGACAGTCGCGATTATTTTGATGTAAGATCCAAGTATCAACACAAAAGGAAAAGTGACAACTAGAAAAGCCAGCACAAAAACCAACATCTCAATCATCAAAGTGTTTCCACAGGCTAACTTAAGCACTGGAGGGACATCACAGAAAAAATGATCCAGCTGGTGAGGTCCACAGAAGGGTAGCGAGAAGACCAGATAGGTGAAACCTATATGTATAGTAGCTCCACTGATCCAACAGCCAGTTGCCAGTTGTACGCACAGCCGGGAGTTCATGAGGAGAGGATAGAGTAAGGGTTTACAGATGGCTACATACCTGTCATAAGACATGGCAGTCAGAACGAAGCACTCAGTGGCCCCCAAGGCCAGAAAGAAATACATTTGAGTCGCACAGGCCAGAAAGGAAATACTTCTATTTTGTCTACAGAGGTCGGCTAGCAATCTGGGGATAGTGACTGTCACATAACATATTTCCAAGATAGAAAAGTTACTCAGGAAAAAATACATGGGAGTCTGGAGGGAAGAATCAACCTTCGTTATTATGATAATGAGACTATTTCCAATCAGAATGATCATGTAGATTATCAGAAACAGCCCAAAAAGAAATCCTTGGAGGTCAGGAACATCAGAAAAGCCAAACAGGATGAATTCTATCAATGTAGTGGAATTTCCATGATCTTTATCTCTTGTGAATGCCATCTTTAGGCAACATTATTTCAAAAGTTGGAAGTCACTTTTATCCTCTGGACTGGCATGCAAAAATGGAACAACTCACACAAATGACTTCAAGTTCATTATCATGTGTTGGTATTCAGTTTTGGTTTTCATATGTTGACTTTTTAAATAATATATTTTAAATACAATATTCTGAAATTCCCGAATGCAAAAATATAAACTCTCATATTAAACTCTCATTAACTCATATTAAACTCTCTTTTTCCAGGCTCACAATAAATATTAATACCTGTGAAAATAAAACAAAATAAATAGCAATAAAAAGGACTTAAATACATCAACTAGTCTATATTAAAACTAGGATATTTTTTGTATATTAATGTTGTTTTTATGTTCTGTTGAGTAGACTACAACTCATAAAAACTCTATAAACAAAACAAAACAACAACAAAAATACTCTATAAACAATAGCTCTGAACTCTGCCTTATCTGGGCCAATCTCACTGTCTCTGACACACTTGCCTCCATTTTCCCAAAGTCACTATGTCAATTCTTTTCATCCAAAGTCTTCATCTCCTATACTGACCCTTTACCCTTCTAAGCATGACATCCTTCTCCATAGCCTGGTCACTCTTGGAAGCATGCCCAAAGTATGTGAGAGTCTTATAATTGAGTGAAGTAACTCAGTCCCATAAGGACAAATACTGTATAAGACCGTTATTGTAGAAAGTGATTGAGTATTGAGTATCCAAGGGGGGAAGAGAGGTTCAGAGGGCTGAGGATGGTTTTCTATTTTATAAAGCCTACTCTCATTTTCCAAAGACTTAGACTTCCTGATAACATGTTGAAGATCTATGAAATCAGTGTCACCATTCTAACTTCAAAGGAACATTCTGACTGTATTTCTTCTAAGAAATAGTCCTTAGTTCTTAGCTCTTTTGATAATCTATGATATTTTTAATAATTTTTTTCAATACTTCAACTTAAATATATCCATTATTCTTTGGTATTCTTTATTTATAAGCAAACTTTCACATATATATGAGGTGATATAAAAAAACCTTGTCTTGGTTTAGGCCTATTTCTTGTATCAATGCAAAACACTGGTTCTTTAGCCATTAAAGAGGCAACTTGTAGTGAATTTGTCTGATGCGATATATTTGATTTCTTGGCTAATATTTTCATGTAGGTTGATTATGAATATAAGTAAAACAAAATCATTGACAATTTCAACTATAGTTTACCTTGATGTTGCTTATTGGTTCAGTTCTGAAGATCCTTGCTTTCTTTATACTGAGGTACAATCCGTACTGAAGGTTTCAGTTTCTGATCATCTAAGTGCTTCAAGTCATAGTTTACAATAAACAAGGCTGCTACATCTAAGTGCTTCAAGTCATAGTTTACAATAAACAAGGCTGCTACATCTAAGTGCTTCAAGTCATAGTTTACAATAAACAAGGCTGCTACATCTTCATATATCTGGTTGATAAGTCTTCCTTCAAACTTCATACTATTTCTTTCATCATGTAGTTCAGAATGTTGGGTTGTTTGCATTACATACACATGGAAAAAGTATAGTGAAATGATATACCTTTGATATATAACCTTCTTGGTTTTAAACTATTGTTCAAACTATTGCTTCTTGGTCTATCTACAAATTTTCTCATAGAACAATTAAATATGCTGAAATTCACATTCTTTTTTTTTTTTTAAATCACATTCTTTGCAACATTAAATATAGGTTATTATGGTCCACACATTCAAATATCTTTGCATCCTCAATAAAAGAGAGGTAAATTCTGCTGGCCTAGTGGACAGAAAGTGATGCTACCAAGCTAAAGGCGGGTGATTTTTAAGCTGAGGTTGAGGCCCTCAGGCCTAGTACTAATTGTTTGTGGTCAAACTTTCTTCTAAGTGGTATAGCACTGGTCTGTCCATTTGCTGTACAGAGGTAACTCGTGGTTGCTATGATGCTAAACACTGTGAGACTGATATGTCAAATGTGATAATGGTTACCCATGGAGGACAGTTTTTGGTGGAGCTCCCCAGTTAAAACAGACTTGGAAGCAGGAGTGGCATCCACTTTTGAAATAGCTTGCCTCTGGAAACTCTATGAACTTGGAGAAATGATTAAAGTTATACAATTGTTCAGGTCTTTCGTTCACAGGGTTGCTATGAGTCATCTATGACTTAACAGCATTTAACAACAACAACATCATTCTCTCAGTTAACCGAAATCTGACATTAGCAATGACATCTTTAATTACACATTCCTTACTGAATCTAGATGACTTTCCTGAAAGTTTCCTGACTAAGTTTAGTAAATTTTACTTATGTGAGCTATTAACCATTGGCCAAAAGACTCAACATGATGGTAGCAAATACAACATGATAGAGCTGCTGAAAAGAATGAAGAAGTATCATTAGTTGAAACTATCATTAATATTTGATGATAGCTTTAAACATTTATCGTGCCTTATAAACCACCTTGGTGCAAGGATTGGGTCGAGTTTTGATGTGTTGGTTATATGGTGTGTAGGAGTGGTACTTGATTTGACTGCACCTAACAACAACAAAAATACACCGTATTAATGTTTTTATCTGTAGTATGTCCTGTATATGTAGTATATATGTCCTGTATATGTAGTATATCTGTATATGTAGTATGAATTCTTCACCAAATGTATGCTATTATAATTAATATTTTACAAGAAGAATCAGAGGCATAAAAAGATCAAGCAACCTAAGCAATGTAAAGTAGCTCATAGGTAATGCAGCTCACTTCTCCTCAGCAGTCTCTTGTTTACCATATTTAACTCAAAGATTTCAGAAAAAATTCAGTAGGACATATTGTTTTAAACTCAAAGCATTAGCAATAGTAATAAAACATTAAGAAATATAAAACTATAATA